CCCAACACCTTTAATCTTCAGCTCTTCTGCTGAAGAATTTGGCCTTCCCGATGACAGGCTGCTTTGGGAGCTTTCCCTTCCCCAGAACTTGGTAGTAACCCGATTGGACTACATCAATTATGGGAGCAGCTCCCGTCTTGTTTTTGGCAGCATTTACTCATGTCTGTTCACTGACCAGTGTCCACTTATCAAGGTTGACAGTTGGGCAGAAACTCTGGTTCCTCTTTAAGTGGTAATGCCTCATACCAACTTTCCCAAAGTAACCTGGGTGATATTTGTCAAAGTTAATCCTGTGGTGATGAATGCCATCAGCATTACCCTGGCCTCCTGGGTGTTTCCGGTGCTTGCCAATATGGCAGTGGCCATGGTTCACGTGTCCCAGAAGTTTTCAGGTCTTCCTCAGACTGGATGGGATGTCTGCGGCTGAGACAAAAAAAGCTACCTTTCCCATTTTTAATTAGTAAGGTTGAGCATCTTTCTACATGATTAATGACTCATTTTCTCTGGCTTACCCTAATGATAACTGCCTATTTTTTTTCTTGAGTGATTTGCATATTGATTAGTAAGGATTCTTTCTATATTAAGGATATCAATATATTCTGTTTTATAGAATATAAGGGTTTTGCTATTTTTCTTAAAAATGTATTTTGTCAAACTTTAAAATTTTATACAGATAAAGCTGTGAAATCTTTAGCCTCTAAATCTTGTATTATGCTTAGAAATGAGGACTTTTCCCTAGTTAGATTATTACAGATAAAACTTTCTCAGACTAATTTCTGTTGTAGTGTTATTTATTCCCAGGCATAGATACACTGTGTAAACAAGCTGTCTTGAAACTTTTAGGGGCATATCCCTCATTTCTTTATTACTTTTGTTAAACAGGAAAACTGCCTAAGAATTATGACCCAAAAGTTACCCCAGATCCAGAAAGATGGCTACCAATGAGAGAACGTTCTTACTATCGAGGAAGAAAGAAGGGTAAAAAGAAGGATCAGATTGGAAAAGGGACCCAGGGAGCAACTGCAGGGGCCTCATCTGAACTGTAAGTCATGGCTTCATAATAGAACTTGCTTAGAACATAGATTGTTTCTGAGAATGATTTAAGGATATTAGTGAGAGTTTGTTAATATATTTTAAGTATGAGAAGTATACAATCATATATCCTTGATGAATGTTTGCAGTATACAAGAGAGAAAATATAGTTCTGCTTTGAATATGTTGTAAATACTAAAACTTTGATTATATTATTAAATTAAATTTTTTTTGTTTGAAAAGGAAAAGGAAACTATACTGAGTCTTTTAACTATGTAAACATTAATAAATAAATTAAAATGTTATTTATACATAGAATTATAAGTCACTTAATTTTTTTATCTTTTTTTTGGTACTGGCAATTGAACTCAGGGGCACTCAACCACTGAGCCCCATCCCCAGCTCTATTTTCTATTTTATTTGGAGACAGGGGCTCACTGAGTTGCTTAGCACCTTGCTGTTGCTTAGGCTGACTTTGAACTCACGATCCTACTGCCTCAGCTTCCCGAGCTACTGGGATTACAGGCATGTGCCACCATGCCCAGAATAATTTTTTTTAATCTTTTTTAAGTTTTCTAAAAATGGGCATGAATGATATATAGTTTTTTAGTTACAAACAGTAAAAATTTTGTTCAAAGAATGGTGAAAGCCAGGTATGGTTAATCCCAGCTACTTGGGAGGCTGAGCCAGAGAATTCCAAGTTCAAGCCAGCCTGAACTGTTTAGTGAGAACCTGTTCCAATAGATTAGATAGGTAGAGCATCCCTAGGTTCAATCCCTAGTACTGCTAAAAAAAAAAAAGAAAAGAAACAAAAGAAAAAGGGTGAGGAATCAGAGATGTACCTTAAACAAAGTGGAAAATTGTTAGATATGGAAAGTAGAACACTTGTATATACCCTTTTTCTTTGTTGAATTTATGAATGACCAAAATATTTCTGGTCTGATGATTTCAGGGATGCCAGTAAAACTGTGAGCAGCCCACCCACCTCTCCAAGACCTGGCAGTGCAGCAACAGTCTCTGCCTCTACAAGTAACATCATACCCCCAAGACACCAGAAACCTGCAGGGGCCCCAGCAACAAAAAAGAAACAGCAACAGAAAAAGAAGAAAGGAGGAAAAGGTGGCTGGTGATAGAATGTCCTTGTTGCAGGCTGTTTTTAAATAGCCTCAGTGATATACTAGGAACATAATAAAGGTAACACAGCAAGAAGCACAGAACTGCTCCATCTTATACCCACGTATTTTCATAAAATAATTTCTTGTGCATCAAATAGGAAAACACCTTTCTCAAACTGCCTAGTCAGGTTTGGTAATTTGAACTGCCTATGTTTGCACAGATTATGAGGACTGGAGATGATCAGGCATATACCACTTTGATATCTGTTGCACCCTTTATCTTTGTGTGCTGATTTGATCTTTTTTCCATTTCACAAATAAGGCATGTTATCTAAGGTCTCCCAGGATTTAAACAGAAACTGTTTCTACTAGAGTCTGAAGACACTTGTTGCTATTTTAGGTCCCACTTTAAATTATGTCTTACATGGCCCTAGGAGGCTGAAAGTGGAATCTTCTGAGCATTCTAAGTATTGAGTTAAAAATATCATGTGATAAGAAGGAACCTTACCAAAACACTAGTGTTCTTCACTTAATTAAATGACCACAAAAAGACTAAAGTAAATGTTTTAAATAATTTTGACCATAAATTCTGTCATGGGATACTGGAATATGGAATATTTTTCATATGTGTATATGGTTCCTTTGTGCCCCTTATCATTTTCATTCTCAGATTATGTTAATGTTGATTTAGCACCATTCAATATCTCAAAATATATCAGTGTTGTAAGAAGTTGACTCTTTGACCTAGTGTTATGAGGTCAGATGGGTTTGGACTTTCTTAATCAGAAAGATTGATAGCCCCTATCAAGAACATAAAACATTGACTTCATTACATAGACAGGAAATCAATACCAAGCAGTATTAAGATCTAACAGGACTGTTTGGCCCAATTAATAGATACTCTAATGGCTTCTCTTTCCTTATGGGTTTTGACCTTTCATTACCTTTCTCTAAGTAATGAAGTATTTTACAATCAGTTTGTGGTGTGACTGTTGTTCTTGTCTTTCCTTGTTCACAAGCCACCTTCACATTCAACAGTTGTGAGACAGTTACTGGGGTGCCTCCCCTTGTTTAATATTCATTTTATGCTGCCCAAGTATAATTTATTTAAGACTTATGAGTATTTCCTTGTGATCAAATTACTCTGTCCTTGTTAATAAAGTGCTGCTGTGTTAGATTCTGAACATATCTACTGAAACTTCTTCAAAGGGTTTCTAAAAAGGCTTTCCATCTTTAAAATAAGAAACGAAGTGCTGCCTTTCTGTTTAACATAATCAGAATCTGCAGTGGCATCTAAACATGAGGTCTTAAAATAAGAATGATTTATTATGTTGTACTTTTGAGCTAAACAGAACAGTCTCTTGGTAAGAGTGACAAATATTTATTCCTTCTGAATATATACTGCAGTATAGGAATGATTGTTAGTAAATCTGTTATTTAGAATTCCATTAAATTTCTAAGGTTAAAGATAATAATTTTTTAGGTTAACTAAGCAACAGAATCTTGGTGAAAATTATCCATCTTTGAAAATTTTGACCTAAGGCACAACAGTGAAATTTACAGTTCTCTATTTAGTCATTGTTTTTGGCAGCCATTGGTATTAGTCATTGCTAAGCAACTGAAATTTCAGTTCAAACAAATAAGTTATTGTCAAATGAAGTGTTAACACCATCAATTATTTCCTCTTTTGGACAGGGCTTTAACCAATGACATATATAACTTTGTATATACATGTTGTATGTGTACATTTATAAAAACCAGTGTGGATACATCCATTCACTATGGCACATTTTAAAATAAAATATTCTAGCAGTGACTATGGATAATTGTGTTTTGAGTGTTGGCATTTTGGGGAGGACTTCCTGGTAAATACATCTAAGAATTTTCTTTCAAACTATCTAAAATTGTCTCCTTCCCCTCCCAGCAGAGCCAGAAAGCCAATCTAATGGGATTGCAGGAACCCAGTTTAAACTACGCTGAAAATATATCATGTTGACATGGGTATAAACAAAACAGCATTTAAAAGTTTTTAATCAGTCTTTTTAATAAAACTCTGAACAGCTAACCTTAAAAACCACTGCATCTGGCTGGGGTTGTGGCTCAGCGGCAGAGGGCTCACCTAGCAAGTCCTGGGCCCTGGGTTCGATCATCAGCACGACATAAAAATAAATAAATAAAAATATTGTGTCTAACTACAACTACAAAATATTAACAACAACAAAAACCACTGCATCACTCAAGGCTTGTGAAACCTGCTATTCATTGTTCCTTACAAGCCTATCTGAAATGAAGAAAAATCAGTTTATTGCATGTATAAACTATACTTTTAATTAATTGACAGTGCTAGGGGGTGGAATCCAAGGCCTCCTACATAACAGGCAATTGCCCTGCAGCCCCCACATCACCTCTGAAAGTTCCATTGGATGCCAAATTTACTACATACTCTATCCTGGGGTAAATTATACTATTTTGCCTAGTTCAGGTTTTGCTAACCTGGACTTTGTTAGCAGCCAGGATCCTGGTGGGGTACTTAATCTCCGAAAATTTTACATATAAATAAACAAATGTGTGTGGTTGTTGGTTTTTTTTTTTTTTTTTTTGTGTGTGTGTGTGTGTGTGTGTGGTGCTGGGTTTGAACCCAGGGCCTTGTGCATAGGGAGGCAAGCACACTACCAACTGAGCTATATCCCCAGCCCTGAAACTAGAATTTAAGACATATTACTCTGTCCTTAACCAATAACCCTAGGTTGCAGCCTTTAGACGTGGCTAAGTGGCGTTTACTCGCACTGTGGAGGGGAGATACACAATTTAGCTTGGCTTCGGTTGTGAGCCGAGGGAGGACGCCGGCGCTGTAGGGTTGAGGACGCCAGCTTGGCAGAGCAGGCTGGGGTTTGAAGCTGGAGAGGTCGGAGGCTAAGGTCGCTCTGGACCCTGCTCAGGTGGAAGGCGTTTCCCTCCGGAGCTGGTGACGCCTAGGTAACGTTTTTTCCGGCAGCGGTGATAAGCCCGTCGCTCTCCCAACTCTTGGTTGGGACCTCTGGGTTCTTCTGGGCTGGGCTCGATCCACCCGCTAGAACCCCCGCCCATTTCAACTCCATTTGGGGTCCCTCCTCCTCACCCCCCGGGTTCGGCGAATCAACTGCCAGTCGCCCTGGACAGGCGAGCTAGTGCGAAATGCCAGACCTCAGGCTGTACGCACTGGGAATAGCTGCGGCCGTGGTGACCACGGGTGTGGCCTACGCCCTGTGGACCTACGTCTCCGCCCTGCGCCCAGCGAGGAGGCCACACCTGCCCGGACCCGAGGCTGCAACTCCTGCGCGCGGGCGCGCAGAGGAAAGAAAGCAAACAGGAGCGGTGGAAATGGAGAATGTGAAGAAAGGGAAGGCTAAGGAAGTGGCGAAGGAGAAAATTAAGGTGAAAGGAAAAGAAGAGAGAAAGAAAGAAGTGTCGAAGGGGAAAGAGAAAGGGAAGGAAGAGAAGTGGATAAGAAAAGATAATGAGCAGGAAAAGGAGAAAGAGCAAGGGAAGGAGACAGCAGCCAAGAATGAGCAATTTAAAGAAAAACCAGAGGTAGAGAAGAGCGACAGCACCAAGACAGAGACGCCTCTGGAGTCATCAGTAGAAAACCAGGTACCTGGGACCCTTGCCTCCAAGGCCCGGCTCTGTTACGTCAGACCCCAAGACCTGCGCAGGGGGATCTGGGCCTCAACAGAGGGTTTTCCACCTAAGGATCGGAGGGATTGTATCGAGCTACGAACATCCCATTGTCCTCCCCTTCTCCCCTGCTTCACCCCTGTACCCTGTGTCCTAACAGATTCTAATGTTGAGGGACCAGAGATCTTGACTGGTCTTCAAAAGTGACGCCTTTTGCCTCTGCCGGGCATTCAGCGCTGAGCTCCCAGACCATCTGCCAACAGAGACCAGTCCCGGACGCTCCGTGCACGCAGGCTCTCTCCGCTTGTCAGAAGCGGCAGTGTTCCTGAATTTATGCAGGATGTGTTTGGGGGCTCTCTGGCTCTTTTCTGTAAGGCGCTGTGGTTACTGCTTGCATGGTTTTCAAACCATCAGCACCCAGAAGGGCGGGGAGTGGGGCGTCGCAAATTTTTAACGGAGAGGTGTGAGAACCCAGGCATTGTGAGGGTCAGCTAGATGGGCTCTGTGTTTCTGGTTGGCTCCATGGGTCTAGAGCCACTTTTTGGTTCTAAACAGTTTTAATTTAATTATTACAGGATATTTGATGTCTGGTAAAACAAGGCTACGTAGATCTATGTATGGCTAAAGGAATAACATTTTTTTTTCTTTTGTGGTGCTGGGGATTGAACTCGGGGCCTTATGCAAATGAAGCAAGCACTCTACCAACTCAGCTATATCCCCAGTCCTAAAGAAATTACTTTTGACACAGAATGATCGTGTTCAGCATCACATTTTGCATCTGAACTCTTGATTTACAACTATCTTAGGTTTCCCTAGGAGGGGATGACACGAGGATAATACATTTTATTTTAATTAATTAATTAATTAATTGGTGCTGAGGATTGAACCCAAAATCTCAGGAATATGCTCTATCACTCAGCTACATCCCCAGCCCAATGTTTGTATTTTAGACCGAAAATATAAACAAAATGTAAATCATTAATGCAGAATTTCTAGGTAGAATGGGTTTAGGTGTGGCAATGTGGTTGGAAAAGGAGTAGGGAACTGTTTTTAACTCACAATGTTTCAAGGACCTAGTACATCATTATTTTAGGAATCACTAAGAAAGAAAAAAAAAATGCTACCAACCAAAATAGGACATACCATAGATTTTAAAAACATCATATTTTTAGCATATTAAAATGAGGAAGGGATGTACCATGGAATGAGTATGTAATGAAGTATGTTGGGGTAACCTGAGTGGGGGCCCCTTCCAAATGGTGAGAGAACACAATCCATGCCTGCAGCCATTTTTTGGTGCTGCTACTGCTTTAAACCATGTAATTTTAAAGCATTCAACAAAGTCTCCTTTGTGTATCAAGTCCTTCTTCCTTACCCTAGCACTTTCTAAGAATGGCATTTTTAAAATAGTTTCATTCGTTATTATGGGCCTTTATTTATTTATATGTGATGCTGAGACGAACCCAGTGCCTCACACATGCTAGGCAAGCGCTCTTCCACTGAGCCACAACCCCAGCCCTAAGAATGGCATTTTAATGTGTAGATGCAGATGGAGAGAATGGGGAAGGACATAGGGATGGAGATAGGAGAGATCCATAAAAATATCATTCACTTTCAGAGCCATCAAGAATTCACTCTAGGGGTTGGGGTTGTGGCTCAGTGGTAGAGCACTTGCCTAAAATGTGTGAGGCACTGGGTTTGACCCTCAGCACCATATAAAATTAATTAAATAAATAAAGGTGTTGTGTCCTTCTACAACTAAAAATATTTTAAAAAATTAAAAAAAAAAGAATTCACTCTAAAATGTATGGCCTTCAAAAATTGTGTTGTTGGGCTGGGGCTGGGGCTCAGCAGTAAAGCACTCACCTAGCACGTGAGAAGCCCTGGGTTCGATCTTCAGTATCACATAAAAATAAATAAAGATATTGTGTCCAACTTAAAAAAAAAATGTGTTGTTTACCCAAATACCTATTAGGGCAGAACTTAAAATGTCTTACTTTCACATAGATTTTTTTTTTTTAAAGAAGTGGTTATAGACATTCTAACACTGTTTAAGATCACTTTTTTTCCCTCCAGAAATGCAATCTAAGTCTAATGTCAACATTTGGTGTTCAAGCAGAACAAGCAGGGTGTATAAGATTATTGTTATTTCTAAACCAGTGCCATTAAAGATAATTGCTAGTATTTTAGATCTACATAGCCTGTGTTTTATCAGATATCAAATTTCCTTTAATAATTAAAACTGTTTAGAACCAAAAAGTGGCTCTAGACCCATGGAAACATCTTTATTAAGCTGTTTGGGAAATAGAATGGAACTCCTCTGAGCAGTCTGGCTCACTTCTTAATCTTTAATGTTTGCACTGTAGAGACCACATCTCTAGGCACTTTTAACTGTATTTCTGTCTTCTCATGAGACTGCCCTTGTGGTCCCTCGGTCCATGGCAATAAAAATTGAGGCTGACATATTGGTAGGATGCTTTTTTTAAAGTTTACTTCCAGTTCACCAGGTTTTAATATCATTAAATCATGATACTTAAAAATATGCATTAAAAATATAAGAGGGGAAACTTGCACTAACATTTTATAATCAAGTTATCTACTTGTGAAGAAAAGATAGATTAATAATAACATGAGACCTTAAATGCTTGCATGCTGAGTGGTATAGTGGATGTGTGCACCATGGAGGTCCCAAGACCCCAAAAACCAAACCAAATTCTGGTACAATCTCCAAAGGACATGAACAAGAAGTCTCGAAATTGACTCTGAGACCTCTAGAACCTTCCATAAATACTGGTGTATGTGTGTTGGTGTATGTGATAGACTGACCAAGAGTTGGGGGATGGAGAGGGTATGTGAGATTAATAGTCACATAGTAGTAATGGTTATGTGAAAACATTAGGTGATTGGTGGTTTGGTCTTGGCCTATAAAATGTTAAGTTCCTCTCTGTTTGGCAATTCCATGATTATTATTAAGTCCTAGCACAGGAAGACACACTATTAGGAGCCAGGAAAACAAGGACCTGATGGCATAGGTTTATTGATTTATCTTTTGTTTCACAGGACAAAAATAAGCAGATCCTAGTTCTAGGCCTGGATGGAGCAGGGAAAACCAGCATCCTCGACTCTCTAGCTTTAAACAAAGTCCAGCATAGCAAGGCACCCACCCAAGGTTTCAATCCCGTTTGCATCGACATTGAAGACAACCAAATGGAGTTCCTGGAGAGTAAGCTCTATTTCCTCACTAGTTATCTAGTAGCCTTCTTTTATGTTTAGCTAGATGTGGTGTTATCAACTGGATTCTTATGATGCTGGATCAGATTTACATAAACTTTAGGATGCATGTGTGGTTTAATACTAAGGTGCTCTAGGGAGGGAGTTAGGAATCACTTTCTGCTTTTTTAATTGTCTCCTTTTTTGCAGTGATGGAGACAGGGGAGGTTAAAGGAAGGCTTTAGCATGCCCTCCTATAATCTATAACGGGCCTCCCTCTTTCCACACTATAGCAAATAAACATGCAGCCTAAGTAAGTACAGTGTGCTTCCTTCTCTGCAAATAAAATTATATAGAAGCCCCAAACTTCTTCTTCCAACTAGATGGCAGTTCCAAAGTCCCTACTGTGCAGCAACGCTGAAGTCACCACCTTGCTAGATGTTGCTGTGCCCCAAAGTTGGGTCAGATCTTCCCTTGTCTTCTCTCTCTCTCAGTTCTTTACCACTGAGCTATATTCCTGACCTTTTTTTTTAGAGAGAGAGAGAGAGATTTTTTTTTAATAATTATTTTTTAGTTTTTGGTGGACACAACATCTTTATTTTTTTTATTTTTATGTGGTGCTGAGGATCGAACCCATCACCCTGCGCATGCCAGGAGAGCACACTTACCACTTGAACCACATCCCCAGACCCGTGACCTTTTTATTTTTTGAGACAGGATCTCCCTAAGTAGATGAGGCCCTCATTAATTGCCCAGGTTGGCCTTGAACTTGTGATCCTCCTATCTTAGCCTCCTGGGTTCTTCTCTTACACTCTCTCTTTGGATGACTTGATTCATCTTCATGGCACTTAATACTATCTATATGATAATGAGCCCCCCCACAATTGACCTATCTAGCCCAAACATATCCAAACGTCTCCTGACATCTCTACTTGATTGTCTCATGGGCCTCTCAAACCATGTGATTAAACAAAAATGTCTGACTTATCCCCTCCTGTCTGTTTCATTACCTGTAATCCACTGGCCATTAAGTGATTCCTTACCCATCAAGTTGCTCAAGGCAGAATCTGGGAGTCACCCTTGATTCCTCCTTCTCTACCCCTGCCTTCGGTCCACAAGAGAAACATATTGACTCCTTCTATCTCCAAAGCATAACTAGAATTTGTCAGTGTCATCCTTTTCTACTGCCTGCAAATGAGCCAAAACCTCCCTCACCTGTTCCTCAGTTTCCTGCAGTCATCATTTTATTTTTGCTTTTGTCCATTTGTGAAGAGAAATATTTTAACCATGTATTTAAGCAAATCCATTGCTAACTTAAAACCCTTCAATGAATTAGCTGGGTGCAATGGTGTACATCTGTAATCCCAGTGGCTGGGGAGGCTGAGGCAGAAAGATCACAAATTTGAGGTCAGCCGAAGCAACTTAATGAGGCCCTGAACAAGTTAGTGAGACCCTGTTTCAAAATAAGGAAAAAAAAAAAAAAAAAAAGGAGGAGGGAGGGTGAGGATGTAAGCCCAGTGGCTAAGCACCCCTGGGGTCAGTCCTCAGTACCAAAAAACAAAAACCCTTCCAATGATAGGTAGGTCCACTTTTAAATAACTCATAGTTCAAAGATAAAATCATTATGGGAATTTAAAAATACTCAGAACAAATGACTGGTAAAAATAACAATGACAAAATGTATTGGTCAAAATTGGCATGACAAAAAAATAATAATGCATTTAAAGAAATTTACAATCTTAAATGTTTATAGCTAGGGAAAAAAACAGCTGAAAACTTATGGGTTAAATATATGATGTAGATTAGGAAAGAACAACAGGCTAAAATCAAAGAGGGTAGAAGGAAAGAGATTATAAAGAAACCAATGAAATTAATTACAAAGATACAGTAGCAAAGATCAGAAAAGTCAAAAGTTAGTTCCTTGAAAGATAAACAAAATAGACAATCTTCTGATGAAATTTATCAGGAAAATCCAGAAAGCACAACTAATGTCTCAAATGAAAAAAATATGTCAAGAGTATATTTACATCTGTGCCAATAGACATATATATTACAAAAGCAGATTCAAGAAGAAATAACAACTCTTGGCCAAATTATATTGTTATATTGTGTGCATGTACAAATATGTAAAAATAAATCATACCATTGTGTACAACTATAGTTCACCAATAAAAATGTGGAAAATAAATAAAAATAAGACATTGAATAATTTTAAAAATTTAAAATGAAATCACTAGCTAAAAATCACTCTAGGGCTGGGGACATAGCTCAGTTGGTAGCTCAGCTTTCCTCACAAACACAAGGCCCTTGGTTCAATCCCCAATACCACAAAAAAAAAAAAAAAAAAAAAAAAAAAATCACTCTATAATGAAAACACTAGATAAGTTGATTTTATAGGTAAACTCTGTCAATCTTAATCTTCCATAAATTCTCCTACCCAACAGGAAGCAAAAGTAGTATTTCCTCACAGTGAGATTACTATAACCAAAGCCAGGCTAAGAAGTATTAAAAAAAGGAAATTCATGAGCATAGAAGCAGAAATCCAAACAAAATTGTAGTAAACCAAAATCCAGTTAGTATATGAAAGAGAAAACATATCATGACCAAGCTTGGCTTCTCCAGAAACAAAAGGTTAGTTTAACGTTTGAAAAATCTAAGCAACTCAGTGAGCATCTGTCTTTAAATAAAATACAAAATAGAGGGCTGGGGATGTGGCTCAGTGGTTGAGTGCCCTTGAGTTCAATCTGTGGTACCCATCCCCCCCATCAAAAACCTATAAATGTCATTTACTACATTGTTAACTAGCGAAATATATATGATAACCTCAATAAAAGCAGAAAAAAATTGCAAAATTCAATTCTGTTTATGATTTTAAAATTCTTAATAAACTAAAAATAAATGGCAATTCCTTAACCCACCAACACTTCAGAACACAGGATTCCTCAACATAAAGTATTAGAAGTATGGCCCCTTGAAAGCCAGGACCAACAAGAGTATTTTAATTCAGCATTACCCAGAAGGTCTAAGTCAGTTCAACACAAAAAAAATGTATTAGGATTAGAAAGGAAGAAACAAAACAGTTCTTGTTTATGAATGTTGTAATTTTCTTTAAAGGAAACTTAGAAAACCCGTCAAATTACTTTAAAAAGTCAATTACACTTCTGTTATCCATCAACATGCAGAAAATGATTTTTTTTTTCCTCTTCTCCGGTTGAACCTATGGGCACTTTTTCACAAAGCTACACACCCAACCTTTTATTTATTTTATTAAAAAAATTTTTTTTTGGTTGTAGATAGACACAATACTTCTATTTATTTTTTATGTGGTGCTGAGGATGGAACCTGGTGCCTCACACGTGGTAGGTCTACCACTGAGCTACAACCCCACCCCCCCACCCCCAGCCTTTTAAATTAATTAATTAATTTTTGTTTTGAGATAGGGTCTTTCTTAGTTGCTTAGGGCCTTACTAAGTTGCTGAGACTGGCTTCAAACTTGCTGTCCTCCTGCTGGGAGGATTCTCCGAGTTGCTGGGATTATAGGCATGCACTACTATGCACAACTTAGCATATATGATTTTTAAGAAGATATCATTTTTGATAGCAATGTACATAATTTAGCTAGTCCTAAACTTAAACACACACACACACACACACACATAATAGACATTTGCAGATGTCATTGAAAAACACTGAAAGAAGATCTAAATAAATGGTGACATAGTTTCCATGAATTCATGGGCTGGGGCTGTAACTCAGTGGTAGAGTGCTTGCCTGGCATGTGTGAGGCACTTGGTTCAATCCTTAGCACCACATAAAAATAAACTAATAAACAAACATATGTGTGTCTATCTACAAATAAAAAAATTTTTTGAAAAAAAACTTAAAAAGATGTTAATTCTCCTCCAAATTTATGTTTAGATATAATTCAATTCCAATCAAAATCCCGATAAAACTTTTTTTAAGAGTTTGAGAAGCTGAGACTAAAACTTACATGGAAGAATAAAGGTATAAAAAAAGCTGGACACTCTTGAAGAAATGAGTAAGAAAGACAGCCTTGTTCTGTCAAATATCAAATCTTACTATAAAGCTTTAAAATTAACATTGTGTGGTGTTGGCACAGGAATGAGCAAAGTGACCAAATGTACAGAGTAGAGATCTTCTGGGGAAAAGAGAGGCTGTTTAACAAATGGTGATGGCACATGAGAAAAAAGTGAAATTGTTTACCAGCCTCTTTATATACATATGTATACATCAAATTCAGATGGATAAAAGTCTAATGTAAAAAGCTTTGTGAAGAAAATAGAGAATATCTTATGTCTCCAGGGTAGAAAAAGACAAATGCAGAATACAAAACAGGATATAAAAATAGATAAAGACAGATGGGTAAATCAATTACATTAAAATTGGGAACTTCTGCTCATAAAAAAGATGCCACAAAATGGGAGAAGATACATGCAACACCTATAACCAATAAACAGACAGTAATCAGAATATGTTAAGAACTCTTATGAAAAAATTTAGACATCATAAAAAACATTTCACATGAAACAAATTAGAAGTAAACATGAAAAAATGTTTAATGATCATTAAGCAAGAGAATTCAAATTAGGTGCGAGAGCACACACACACACACACAAATCAATCAGATAATACCAAGTTTTGAAGAGAATGTGAATCCAAAGGAAATTTATTGGCCATTGGTGGAACATAAATTGGAACCTGCCACTTTAGAAAACAATTTAGCATAGTTGGCCTTCCTTTCACATATATCCACACCAGGAAACAAATACAAAAGTCTTTACAGCAGCATTGTTTATGGTAACAATAAATGAGGAATAACCCAATGTCCATGGATGTTTAAATTGTGTTAAAACCATCTGAATTACTTAGAAGTTTTCAAAATAGTTTAACAAATGAAAAACACAAAATACTTAGAAGAATGACTAGCCTAGAGAGATGCAAAAGAAAACAAGGAAAGGTAAATCTTTTCTTATTAGTGTTTAAAATGGCTTTTGTTAAGTTGCTGTTACAGAGATCTGAAAGCTCTTTCTATCAATGGCTATGTAGTAAATAATTTGAGCTCTGTGGACTGCATGGTCTCTGTTGTAACCACTAAACTGCCCTTGTGGTATAAGAGTAGCCACAGACAATATATAAACCAAAACATATTGTGTTCCAATAAAACTATTTGTGGACACTAGAATCTAAAATTGATAGAATATTCACAGTCTTAATATGGTATTCTTTTTTAAAAAACATTTAAATGTGTAAAAAAGCCTTTTTAGCTTGTGAGCTATACAAAAATAGGTGGCTGGCTAGATTTGAATATGGGACCATGGTCTGCCAAACCCCATACTAGGAGAAAAATAAAAGCTAAATTCATTTTGTATATTATCATTACCAAAAAGTTTCCTATGGGAAGAATCAGTAGAATGAATTTCTGTAATCTAAAGGCATTTTTATTCTAAGGCAAATATTCCTGAATACCTTAAGATCATATTTCCTCTTAATGCAATATTAAAAATAGAAATGAATTCTGGGATTCTGACAAAGGAAAAGAATTATGCAAATGAGGGTAGCCAAGAAGTTTAGTCCATTTAAAAATCAGAGTGATATGTGTTTTTTGTTTGTTTGTTTTTCCCCCATACTGGGAGTTGAACCAGGGGCACTTAACCACAGAGCCACATTCCCAGCTCTTTTTTTGTATTTTTTAGAGACAGAGTCAAGTCTGAGTTACTCAGACTTGTGAAGTTGCTGAGGCTGGCTTTGAACTCACAATCCTCCTGCCTCAGCCTCCCAAGCCACTGGGATTATAGGCATACACCACTGTGCCCAGCATAACTTGTGCTTTAACCTACCACCTTTAACTATTTCAGTAGCCCACTCCCATTGATGAACTTGCAGTGGCTGTGAGTCTGTTGTGTATGTCAGGATCAGAAGACACCCACTGTAACATTTAATATCTGAACAAAGATCCTTTCTGATTCCAAAATGAATGATCCACTTGTGAAGGGTACTCATTCCCAATGGCTATTTCCCAGCAGTGTCCCTCTGATTGCTCTCAGAATTAGGTATCTTCTAACACAGTGGAATTTTGTTGGAGCACCTGTCCAGTGTGCCCAGACTGTCCTGGGTGAATGCTCCTGTGATTTGTTGGTGTCTTCTTCCTCTACTGTTCTCTGTAGTTGGCGGCAGCGAGCCTTTTCGTTCTTACTGGGAAATGTACCTGTCCAAGGGATTGTTGCTGATCTTTGTGGTGGATTCAGCAGATCACAATCGATTACCTGAAGCCAAAAAATTCCTTCACCAACTAACAGAAGCAAATCCAATCCTTCCTCTGGTTGTGTTTGCACACAAACAGGTAAAAATCTGTGCAAATATAAATCACACTCAATACTTTGCTTACTAATACAAGAAATTTCTATTTTTTTAATAGCTAGATACTCAATAATATGCTGCATATTCAATTTGACTTATTAGATTCCCTGGGTTATAAACTCCTTGAGCGTAATACGACTGTTATGAATTTTGGTGTCCTTTGAAGTTCCTAAGTAGACTGCTTTGTGCGTAGTAGGAATTCAGCAAAGGTCTGTTGAACTTATTTCAATAAACATATATTAATGGTTGAATCCAACAAAATATTTGAGAGGTTTCCATGTATAAAGAAATAGTTTTGTTTTAGACCAACTAGATTGACCTGAATTTATTTCATACACATGTTAAAAATATTAAACATCCATGGGGAAATTGGAACCCCTGTGCACTGTTGGAATGTAAAATTGTATACTTGCTATGGGAAATAATATTGTGGCTCCTCAAAAAATTAAAAAAAATAGGGTTCCCATATGATGCAGCAATTCCACTTCTGGGCATATATCTCCACCCCGCCCCACCCCCACACACACACAAAAAAACCCTGAAAGCACGTCTCAAACAGGTATTTATATAGCACTATTTACAGTAGCCAAAAGGTGGAAGCAACCCAAGAGTCCATCCAATGATGAACAGATAAACAAAACATGGTACTTACATACAATGGAATATTACTTGGCCTTAAAAGGGAAGGAAATTCTGACATATACAACACAGATGAACCTTTAAGACATCATGTTACACGAAATAACCCAGCCAAGAAAGGACAAATATTGAAAAATTCTGCTTATTGAGGCTCCCAGAAAAGTCAAATCCACTAAGATACAAAGTAGAATGGTGATTGCCTGGAGGAATGGGGGAATTAATTGATAGGTACAGAGTTTCAGTTTAGCAAGATTAAGAGAGTTTGGGTGATAGTCGCACAACAATGTGAATGTATTTAATGGCACTGTACACTGAAAAATGGTTAAGATGGTAACTTTTGTTATGTGCACTTTTCACAATTAAAAAAAATTTAAAAATCAATTTCCAAGGGCTGGGGTTGTGGCTCATTGGTGGCACACGTGTGAGGCACAGGGTTCGATCCTTAGCACCACATAAAAAAATAAAGGTGTTGTGTTCATCACTAAAAATAATACAATGTTATGGAAATTCACTTTTTTTTTTTTTAGTATTAGTTTACTTCCACAAATATTCACTCATAGAAGTCATAAAAGAAAAAGTAGGAATTGAGCTGTTTTATAATCGGCAAACCTAGCCATTGAGAAAGGGGCTTAAGTAATACAATGTTATGGAAATTCACTCTTTTTTTAGTATTACTTAAGTCCCTTTCTCAATGGCTAGGTTTGCCGATTATAAAACAGCTCAATTCCTACTTTTTCTTTTATGACTTCTATGAGTGAATATTTGTGGAAGTAAACTAACTAATCCCAAATGATGATCCAAAGTAGGAGCCTAGTTGAAGTCCTTTGTGGAAACTAGTTCAGCAGATTTTGACATTCGGTTAACATTTTGAAAGAAACACTCGTGCTATTTTGTTTTTATTTTTAAGAGGAGCATCTTAAATACCATAAACTACAAAGATTTGGGGATGGGGGTATAGCTCAATGGTAGAAGATGTGCTTAGCATGCATGAGGCCCTAGGTTCTATTGCCAGTTCCAACATCAATAAACAATAAATAAATAAATAATAGCAAAGATTTAAAAAGTCATGATAAATGTGAGCTGTACGCTATTCCATTGCACGAATGAATATACCACAGTCTTGCCATTTTCTTGTTGTGTATTTGAATTATTTTCAATTTTTCATTGTTATAAACAATGTTGCAAATGAGTCTTCAAATATATGTGTCTCCTTGGAGATCTCTGTGAACATTTTCCTGGTGCATATGCCTAAAAGAACAATTACTGGGTTTTTGTATTTATAAATGGTAAATTGGACTAGATCTTATCAAGTTGCTTTCCAAAGATGTTATACCAGTTCATTCTCCCATTGGCAGAAGGTGATAGTTTTTGGAACTCTGTATCTTTGTCAGTACTTGGTATTTTTGCCAATACGATGGGGCAGAATTGTTTTTTATTATTCTAATTTATATTTCTCTAATTGCTAGTGAGCTTAAATATTTTCCAGGTGTTTATTGATCTCCATATTAGTGAATTTATTAGTATCTTTTTCCAAACTCTTACTAGAGTATTTATAGTGTGTGTGTGTGTGTGTGTGTGTGTGTGTGTTGCTGGGGGTAGAACCCAGTGTTTCACATATATTATGCATGTTTCCTACCACTCTGTTATACCTCTAGCCCCTCTATCTTTTCTTGTTTGAATTATAGGAATCTTTAAAAGCATTCTTTGTTAGTCACATGCTTTACTACTATCTTCTTCTTCAGCATTCTGGTGCCATGTCATTTTATTTTACTTATAGTTTACATTTTCATATTGAAGATTTCTATTTTTAATTTATCAATACTTTCTTTTGTGATTTGTCTCTTCATCAAATTAAATCAACAAGGCCATTCATTGTCAAATTTATAATATTATTGAGCCTTAAAGAGAAAAGATCTGTATATTCTAGTTTGTGTGAGTTAGCCTTTCATCACTGTGACCAAAACACCTGACAAGAACAATTAGAGGAGAAAAAGTTTATTTGGGGCTTTAAGTTTCAGAGGTTCAGTTCATGATCAATCTGACTCCATTGCTCTGGGCCCAAGAGGAGGTAAAATATCATGGTAGAAGGGTGTGGCAGAGGAAGCTGCTCAGTTCATGACAACCAAGAGCAAGAGAGCGCCAGGGACGACAAGATACACTCCAAGGCCACCCATCACCACCATGTGACTTATTTCCATAGCCACACACCATCAGCCTGCAGTTACCAGTCAGTATTCCATTTAAATTATTAATAAATCAAATGGATCGACCCATTAATGAGATTACAGCTCTCATAAGCTCATTATTTCATCTCTGAACATTCCTGCACTGCCTAATGAATGAGCTTTTTGAGGGACACTTCATATTCATACCATAACAAGAGCTCAATTTATCTTTGTTTATATTCTTTGGCCAAAATATTTAGTCTATTATTTTAGCTAAGTTCAAGGTTTTTTTAATATTTATTTTTTATTGTAGTTGGACACAATACCTCCATTTTATCTACCTATTTTCATGTGTGCTGAGGATCAAACCCAGGGCCTCCCATGTGCTAGGCGAGCGCTCTACCGCTGAGCCACAATCCCAGCCCCAAGTTCAAGTTTTTATGTAAGGGTTTTCAAAGAAGTCATCTTTTTTATCTTTACTCTTTGCATTATTAACTCTATTAAGGCCCAATTATATAAGCATGGAATAAACCCTGTATTTATACCTTATGTGTTATATCATTAGAGGGAGCCCCTCTTCCCACCTACCACCCTTCTCTTCCTATTTTTTCTGCTCCAATTCAGTCAGTGAACTTATTTAATATGGGACATTATCCATGTTACTGGATTTATTAATACCATTACACAAATTATTATAAGCTCTAAGACCAAGTAAATTATTCAGATTGAGAACAGTCAGTGAATGTATGTGACTACCAGTACTCAGAAAGGTAACCACCTCCCAGTTACTAATTACAGCACATCATGAAGCCTCCCCGTGGTGGAATTTGGTAGGTCTACATTGGTATAGGAAAAATATGACTCAGTATTGGATTATTTTTAGAACTTGAAAACTGTTCTGCTGGTCAGGTGCAGTGGCACCCCAGTTTGTCCCAGCTCCTCAGGAAGCTGAGGTAGGAGGATCACTTGAGCCCAGGAGTTTGAGGCCAGTTTGGGCAACATAGTGAGACCCCATCTCAATAAATAGATAGATGATAGATAGATAGATAAAATGATACTCTAAAGCTTAGAGAAATGCTGCAAATTAATAAAAAGCCAATTATAAATGCAGTTTTAGATGTGAAAATGCCAACAAAGGACTCAAAAACAATAGGGATTTAATATTTTTAAAAGAAATATCAGAGGGGCTGGGGATGTGGCTCAAGCGGTAGCGCGCTTGCCTAGGATGCATTCGGCCCAGGTTCGATCCTCAGCACCACATACAAACAAAGATGTTGTGTCTGCCGAAAAATAAAAAATAAATATTAAAATTCTCTCTCTCTCTTTAAAAAAAATAAAAGAAAGAAAGAAATATCAGAGACCTTTTGTCTAAATACTTCTGGATGCATGAGAGGCCGAGGAGTATATTTGGATCTTTCCATTTTGACCTCTAGGAGTCTGACTGTGGCATGCAGCATAAGCCCAGGTGGCTCTCTCTAGGGGATTCTGTCCCTGCTGCATCTCTTTGCCTCTCTCCTCCTCTTTGCCTCCCTCCCTACCATTTTTGTTCTCGATCTGCTCCCTCCCTGGTCTCTTGTCTGTCTCCCTCTACCTCCCAAAGTTTGATCCAAAGTTCTTGTTCAGTAGAAATAATGATCAGAAAAGAAAGCTCACAATGGCAAGTGCTAAAATTAGAAATATATGATATGAACCAAAAGTAACTAATGAATCAAATTCCTTTTGATAAATGTAAATTTGTATTAATTGATTCTGTTGAAAATAATCTTGAATTAAAAACAGTGATGACTCTGTTTAGAAAATTAAGGTATTAGATTGGCTTAGCTTCATTCCAGAAAACATTTGTTTGATAACACATAAATGCTGGCATTAGCTGGGTGCAATGGTGCACACCTGAAATCCCAGCAACTCAGGAGGCTGAGACAGGAGGATCTCAAGTTTGAGGGTAGCCTCAGCACCTTGGTGAGGCCATAAGCAACTGAATCAGATCCTGTCTCAAAAATAAAATAAAAAGAGCTGGGGATGTGACTCAGTGGTAAAGAGCCTCTGGGTTCAATCCCTAGTACCCACCCCCATACTGGCATAATTCTGGTGAAAATATTTATATTCAAACATCTACTGGTGTCATCACAATTGGGGTCACAACATCCTCTGTATTAAAATGGTCATTAGAGCAATAAAGACAAATAGTAAGTCTGTATATCCCAAAGGAATGCAAAATAACCAACTTTTTCTTCTTATTTTTCCATTCTGGGTGAAGGATCTCGAGGCAGCCTATCACATTACAGATATCCACGAAGCATTAGCATTATCTGAGGTGGGAAATGACAGAAAATTGTTCTTGTTTGGAACTCAAGTGACCAAGAATGGCTCAGAGATACCTTCTACTATGCAAGATGCCAAAGACCTGATTGCACACCTGGCTGCAAATGTGCAGTAAGCAGGACGAGGCCCACTGTGTGACTCACCACCTACATGTCATTGGGGAATGCTGAGTGGCAGGCTTGAAACCAAAGGTTTCCACTTTCGATTAAAAAATAAGACATTTCCTATTTTCTCAATGCATGACATATACACAAAGATAATGTTAATTCATTATGAGTATCTACTTATTTAGATTTTGAACTTTAAACGTATTTATAGCTGGGCATGGTGGTGCACGACTGTAATCCCACTGGGGGGACTGGGGAAGATGACTGGGGAGGATCTCAAGTTTGAGATCAGCTTGGGAAACCTAGAAAAAGCCTGTCTCAAAATAAAAAAAATAAAAAGGGCCAGAGATATAGCTCAGTGGTAAAATACTCCTGGATTGAATCTAATACTGCAAACAGCTAACCAAACAAAAACATTTCATTTTATTTTTTGGTACCAGGAATTGAACTCAGGGGTGCATAGCCCCTGAGACACAGCCCCAGTTCTTTTTGTTTCTTATTTTGAGACAGGATCTTATTAAGTTACTTAGGGCCTCACTAAGTTGCTGAGGCTGGCTTTGAACTTATGATCCTCCTGCTTTAGCCCCTCTAGCTGCTGGGATTCCAGGCATTCACCGCCACACCCAGTCAACATATTTTATTGATTTTTAAAAAAATAAATGACAGCAGAATGCATTACAATTCTTATTACACATATATAGCACAACTTTTCATATCTCTGGTTGTACAATTAACATATTTTAAAAACAGCATATTTGGAGTGAATTAGGATTTTTTATTTTTCCAGTGCTGGGGTTTGAACAAAGGGCCTTGCACATGCTAACCACATGCTTTTCCACTTAGCTCCATCTCCAGCCCTAGAATTAGGATGTTTAATCAACAAAAGTAAAGTGAACATTAGAATGTTTTCACCCCACTTGTGGTTTTTCAGTATTATTAAGTTTCTATTAAAACATTTTAACAAGCGTCTTCTTCTCAAGTAAATATCCATATGTCTTTCTTTTAAGTGGATCCATTAACATTGTGGGATAGAATTACAGGATAGTAGAATGAGGAAAGTGAGCACCTTCAAACCCTCAGAGAAATAGAATCAACCACTTTCAGAAAGAGTTAGGAAATACTTGTCTCTAGGAGCCTGTCATACTAGGTGAGGAATATTGAGGGGATTTGCTTTTAAAATTCTTGACATTTCACTTTTATATATAGATATGCTTTCTTCACTAGAGATGTTTTGTAAACCGATAATGATATTTACCTACAGACTTGATGTGAAATTCAACTTTCAACTATAGTGCTTTTCCTTGATTAAAAAAAATAATTATTTTTGAAAGTGGATTGTGGTATATATAAATTCTCCCTTTTACATTTTTGGAATCTGTGCCAAAAAACCAACTATGATGAAGATGATTAAGCCTCTCAATGTTAGCACAAAACCATCTCTATCAAGCTTTAGGTTACAATGGAATGTAACCTAACTTAGGCATTTGAGTACAGAGGTTTGTGCAAAATAATTGCCTATGAGAGGCAAAACAGGGGAGTGAGGTCTCTTACCTTCTCCAGAGTCAGGGCTGCAGCATCCTGAGTTCAGTGAATGACTGTGCTGATCCCATTACAACTGCCACTCAGATGTCTAATGTCAAACCTTCTTTTGTTTGGTCTATGGAAATGGGACCACACATTGATTTAGGATTATCAGAAACCCTGAATTTTAGCTTCTTTCTCGAGGCTTTCTATGAATGGACTCCTGGACACATCCCTTAATCATCTTGGTCTTCTCTCTATAAATGGATCTAGCCCATTGTAGACTACTTCCAGCCCTGGGTTTGAATTCTATGCTCTCTCTTCCCTGTGAATTCTAATGGGGATCAGAGGCCTATATAGTTCCTTGATGCCTTTTTCATAGGTGATACCAAAAGCTTTCAGGATGAGGGATGATAGGTCTGTTCTTCCTTGTTTGGTCTTTTTTTTTCTCACATTCTGATACTTTTCTGCATTTTGGTAACAAATGCTGTTGCTAAAATAACTGGAGTTTTTCTTTCAGGGAACAGTTAAGTACCAATGTGATCATCATTGCATGATGCTGGGGAATGAGTAAAGCAGAGACCCTAAACTCGAGATGCTCTCAGGCTAGCAATGCAGGTCATGTCACAGGGGTTTTCAATGGAAATGGTACTCATCCAGGACAGATTGGTGTGATGTCAGAGAGGCTGCTGGCTGGTAGTCTTCCCATCAGGCCTCAAAATGAAACACTTAATACTTTGGAGGATTTAACACAATCTGGTGTTGCTGCCAGTCTTCTTGACTTAGAAACCATAGATTTTGTTACTGAATCAAATAAGTGATTTGGCCTTTTCATTTATTCAGAAGGTCAACATTTATTAAGCACCAACTAAGTGCCAAGAATCTTTCAGTTAAACAGGATGGGAATTCAACTCAAATTTATGTGTGCACAGGGGCTAGGGTTGTAGCTCAATGGTAGAGCACTTGCCTAATACATGCAAGGCACTGGGTTTGATCCTCAGCACCACATAAAAACAAATAAATAAAACAAAAGTATTAAAAAATAGATCCTAATTTATTTTAAAAAATTTGTTTGTGCCCCAAAGAAAGGGTGGTTTGGGGAAACTCATCATACTGAGAAACCTGAGCATGAGTAGACTCAGGGCTTCAGAGATAGTAAGACTGTCTTTCCATCTCTTGGTCCTGCTAACCTCTGCCTGGATTAATACTCAGACTCTTGTTACCCTCACCAAGGTAGTAAGATGATTGCTGTTGACATCAAGCCTACGCTATTCATATAGTCCATGATATCAGGATATTATGAACCCTCTTTCAACAGCCAGACAGCAAATCTCATTGAGGGGCACTGATTGGCTCTGCTGAGGTCACATCTTTATACCTGAACAGATTATTGTGGCCAGATTGGCTGGATCCAGAGTAGGAAGGAGGATTAGCTCCCTCAAACCATATGAAATCCATGTTCTCATAGAAAGGAGGTGGTCTGCTTTCAAAAGAAGAGGGAAGGGAGTCTAGGCAGGAAAATATCAGTTGTTCCTAGTCATTCACTGTACTTGGTACTAGAATACTTTAAAATTAATATGGGCTGGACATGTTCTTGGATAAGCAGAATTAATATTGTCAAAATGGCCATACTACCAAAAGCAATATACAGGTTTAAGGCAATCCCCATCAAAATACCAAAGACATTCTTCACAGAAGTAGGAAAAAAATCCTTAAATTTAATTGGAGGAATAAGAGACCCAGAATAGCCAAAGCAATACTAAGCAAGAAAAATGAAACAGGGGTTGGGGTTGTGGCTCAATGGTAGAGTGCTTATCTAGCCTGTGTGAGGCACTGGGTTTGATCCTTAGCACCACATTAAAAAATAAATAAACAAAATAAAGGTATTGTGTAAATATACAAATAAAAATATTTTTAAAAAGTGAAGCAGAAGGCATCAGAATATCTGATCTGAAATTATATACAGAGCTGTAGTAACAAAACCAGCATGGTACTGGCAACAAAATAGACATGAAGACCAGTGGAATAGAAGACACAAATACAAACCCACCTACTTACAGCCATCTGATACTTGAAAGAGGTGCCAAAAATATGTTGGAGAAAAGACAGCCTTTTAAACAAAAGGTGCAGGACAATGGCATATCCATATGTAGAAAAACAAAATTAGACCCTATCTTTCACCCTGCACAAAAGTCAAAGTGGATCAAAAATTTAGGAATTAGACCAGAAATCTTGCAACTTTTAGAAGAAAACATAGGGTCAACATTCTATCATATAGGTGCAGGCATCAATTACCTCAACAAGACCACTAAAGCTCAAGAAATAAAAACTAAGACACTCAATAGTGCGATGTCATCAAATTAAACAGAAAAGGAAACAATCCAGAGAGTAAAGAGAGAGTCTATGGAATGAGAAAAAATTTTTTGTCAGTTACTCCTCTGACCCTGGATTTTGATTAAGAACTCAAAAACTCAACCCCTCAGAAAAATAACAAAATCAATAAATGAGCAAAAGAACTAAATAAATTTCTCAAAAGAAGAAACACAAATTGTCAATAATTATATGAAAAAATATTCAACATCTCTGGCAATCAGGGAAATGCAAATCAAAACTACACTAAGATTTCATTTCACTCCAGTCAGAATGGCAGTTATCAAGAATACAAATAATAATAAATGCTGGCAAAGGTATGGAGGAAAAGGTACACTCATACACTGTTGGTGGAATTGGTGGAATTGCAAATTAGTACAACCTCTTTGGAAAGCAGTGTGAAGTTTCCTCAAAAAACCAGAAATGGAACCACCATATGACCCAGCTATCCTACTCCTCTGTATTTATCTGAAAAAACTAAAACTAAAATCAGCATACTATAGTAATAACAGCCACTACAATGTTTATAGTAGCACAGTTCACACAAAGCCAAATTATGGAATCAACCCAGATGCTTGTCAATAGATGAATGGTTCAAGAAAATTTGGCATATATACACAATGGAGTTTTACTCAACCATAAAGAACAACAAAATAATAGCATTTGCAGGTAAATGGATAGAAATGAAGAAAATCATGCTAAATGAAATAAATCAGACTCAGAAAATTAAGGGTGGAATGTTTTTCTTGTGTAGGCTAGAACAAAATAAGGGGAGAAAGGCAGTGGGGGGAGGGGATTGGATATCAAAGATAAAGGGAAAACCAGTGGAGGAGAAAGAGGAGAATGAGAGGGACAGAGGGAGGACAGAAACAAAGAAATATGGGATGAATTTATTTAATTTTATTAAATTATGCTATATACACATATAAATGTACCAGAGGGAATTCATCCTTATGTATAGAAAACCTCAATCAAAAATAAAGGAGTTGAGCTGGGGATGTGGCTCAAGCGGTAGCGCGCTCGCCTGGCATGCGTGCAGCCCAGGTTCAATCCTCAGCACCACATACAAACAAAGATGTTGTGTCCGCCGAAAACTAAAAAATAAATATTAAAAAAATTCTCTCTCTCTTAAAAAAAAATAAATAAAAATAAAATTGTTAAAAAAAAAATAAAGGAGTTAGGGGCGGGAGTTGTGGTTCAGCGGTAGAGCGCTTGCCTACCATGTGCGAGGTACTGGGTTCCATCCTCAGCACCACATAAAAATAAATAAATAAAATAAAGGTCTTGTGTCCAACTGCAATTTAAAAAAAATGAAATCGAAGATCAGTAGAGGAGGGAGAAAAGGGGGAGGAATGAGGGGAAAAGAAAGGGGGATGGGGATTGAAATAAAATTTCTGCTATGTATAATTTTGTCAGAGTGAACCCAAATACTACGTATAATTATAATACTCTAATAAAAATAATAATTAAATTTTACTCTTTAAAATCCTAGCAGCTGAATTCTGTGCTATTGAAAATATTTTATTATGTTCACTGATAAAATTGTACATATATACAAAAAATTAATAAGAGCTGGAAAGACTCTTTGAGTGGGTAGTATTGAACCTGAGAGTTACAGCATAGAAAACAGCCAGTATGGGAAGAGTGGTGAGAAGTGAACTCCAGACAGCAGAACAGGTGTAGGAAAAGGCTGAAATGGAAAAAAGTTTGACAAACTAGAGAAGAACAGGGAGACTAGAATGTACAGAGCAAGGGTGTAATGACCCGAAGAGTGGACTAGAGAGAAAAAGGACTAGATTGTGGGACCACTTATACTACAAGTGTGTCCTCTCTCTCTTTCTCTCTCTCTCTCTTTATGAATGTTTGGAATGTTATGACTGGAGCTGGACAAAGGTAGAAATCAGAAGGCCTACTGGATGGGGTGGACTAGGTCAGTGACTGGACGTGGAGAGAAAGGGATGCGTTGAAGACATGTATTTTCAGAGTTAACTGGAGTTGCTTATGTATTGGATGTGGGGAG